GCATTCAGACTTTGCTCCTTTAATATTCTGAGCAAAGACACCATCACACCCCCAGCCCCTGACCCCCAGTTCTCTCAGTTGGATCTCAAGTGTATTATTTCTCTGACTCTTCTCAGAGTATTAAGGCACTCTTCATAGTGGAACAAAGTCAGACAGTTACCCTCTTTGATTGCAGCCGTGGGTCTCTATCAGTGCTTATTGAGGTTGTCTTCATGTCTGAGCAATTGTCAGAAGTGCTGTAGTCATCAAAAACTGATAGTTCTTCTATTTGGGGGGGGTGGGGCGGGGCATTGAATTACACTTGCCAGTGCTTGGAGGTTATTCCTAAATCTGTGCTTGAGACTTGCTCCTGGTGGTACTCAGGTGACCGTTGAATGTCTCAGAGATTGAACTGGGCCACATGCAAGGCAAGAGTCTTTACCCCTGCACTATCTCTCTGGCCCTAACTTTTTCCCTTCTTTTTTTTTATATATTTTCATAAATTTTATTGATTCCACTGATTTTATATACTCTTCTCATCCAGCTGCAAGTTGATTATCTCACTTTGTCCACATTGTAGTAATTAGATTGCTTACTTTAACGGCATGGTAGCTTTTGCACAATTTTTTCCCAGTGACACTGCTGACACAGCACGGTTTATCTTATTTACTGCATTGTTATTATTTATTCTATAACTAACTAAGCTGCTTCTCTTGGCAATTGGCTGGGGTGCAAAGTCTCATTTCTTTCTTTTTTTTTTTAATATTCCTCAGAGAACGAGGGGTGGGAATGGGGTACACACCCAGCATTGAATTTCTCCTGGCTCTGCACTCAGGAATTACTTCTGGTGGTGCCTGGGCACCGTATGGGATGTCAGGAATTGAATCCAGATTGACTGCATGCAAGCATCCAACTGGCTGTACTATTTCAGTACTATCTACCTCAGTTTCTTCTTTTTTTTTTTGTATTTGGTTTTTGGACCGCACCCCGGGGTTGTTCGGGGATTACTCCTGGCTGTGATCAAGGGACCGTATGTGATGCTGTGAGTGGATCCTGGGTCAGCCTTACCCACTGTATTCTCTTTCCAGTCCCAATTTTTTTTTAAAAGGCATTTTCATTGTTAGCTTATAGCGGAGGCATTTGAAATCACTTTACTTTTAGCCTTCCCTTGACTGATAGCTGCTCTTCATACAGGTTATCACAGCTTATTAAAAGCCATCTCCATAGTCCTCACAGGTGTTTTGGTTCGTAAAAATTACTATAGATGGTGTTGTCATGGATAGCATACACTACATCTTTTGCCAAGTTGGCAAGTGTGTTATAAACTTTTATTGAGCACCTATTCTGTTCTAGATGCTCCTAAATACTTTACAATGTGTTTTTTCCCCCATTCTACAATACCCAGTAGGACAGAATAAGGTAGCACATGATCTGTGAAATCAGATCATGCCACTTACAAAATTTGTGGTCTGTGTAAATTCCTTTAACTTTATTTGTCTTGGTTTCCTACATCTGTAATATTTTTTTAGATGTTGGGCTGTGGAGAGAGTGTAGTGCAGAAAGAAAGCGGAAGTGCATGCTTTGCAATTTCAGAGACCCGAGTTCGATCAGCAGGAGTGCAGATCCATCCCACCCCACCCCACAACCATCACCAGCAGCACTGGATGTGGCCCCCCTCAAAGAATGAAAAAAGCAATGGGACTAGGCCTATCTTATAAGGCAACCTTGACAATTTGATAAATTGCTATTAATATACTTGTAACATTTATAACGGTGGGTGATGTATACCGGTGTATGTGTTAGATAATATTTTTATTTAGTCCTCAGAATTATGGGCTACTCCAGCCCCACTCTTATAAGAGAAGACACTCACTGAGAGAAAGGTTAGGTCATTTATTAAAATAGATCTAAGATTTGAACTTGTACTGAGGATAACAGAGTCATCGGTGTTTCTGTAGAAGGAATCGTACATCGTTCCTTTTTTTTTTTTTTTTTTTTTTTTTTGCTTTTTGGGTTTGGAGCGATAGCACAGCGGGTAGGGCGTTCGCCCTACACGCGGCCAACATGGCCGACCCGAGTTCGATTCCTCCGCCCCTCTCGGAGAGCCCGGCAAGCTACCGAGAGTATTCGATATGCCAGACACAGTAACAACAAAGTCTCTAATGGAGACGTTACTGGGCCCGCTCGAGCAAATCGACGATCAACGGGAGGGCCTTTACCTTTTTACCTTTACCTTTGGGTCATACCTGGCGATGCACAGGAGTTACTCCTGACTCATGCACTCAGATGCACTCAGGAATTAACACCTAGTGGTGCTCTGCTCAGGGGATATGGGATGCTGGGAATTGAACCGGGGTCAGCCGTGTGCAAGGCAAATGCCCTACCCACAGTGCTATCGCTCCACCCCCCCCACCCCCCCCCCCCCGTACATCATTCCTTTCCTCGCAAAGGGACTGTGAGCCTGGCAGCAATCAAGTTTTATTGATTGCTCTGCAGGATACATTAGTTATACCTCTAGTGGGACAAAACTACATATAACCATTTTTTTCCCCTTCCCAAGCCATGCTCAGGAGGCCTGAGGTCTCCTTGCAGTTGTTGGCAGGCTGGCATTTCAGTGGGATGACCCAATGACGTGGCGTTGCTTGGGCCCCGCAGTGCCAGGGGTTCAACTTGTGTCTTGTCACGTGCCTTAACTCCTGTGCTATCTCTCCTGTCCCATTAGTAGAATTACTCATTTATTTTAATTAATTAAATTTGGGGCTTGGGGCCAGCAATGCATACTACCTGGTTCTATGCTCAGGAATCACACTACTCCTGGTGGGCTTGGTGGACCATATGGGTTTCCAGGGATCAAACCCTGGTCAGCCGTGTCCAAAGCAAGCAGCCTACCTGCTGTACTGTTGCTCTGGCCCCTTAAAAATTTGGTTTATAGTTTTGTGCTACTAGGGCTTGAACTGGAGGTGGGGTGTGTGGGGGGTCACACATGCAAGGCCAGGGCCCTGAGGCAGAGCCACGCTCCCATCCCCATTACTTGGCAGCATTAAATAAATTTATGGAGAAACCCTGACAGGAACAGGTGGAAGCAGTAATGATGGTGTGTTTCCCTCCCATGTCTGTGATCTTAAAGGAGAAGCTGTTACACTCATACTTGTTTCGAGCATCTTGCACTGATGTATGATATGTACTCAAAAAATGTTGTTAGTGGATAAGTGGATTAATGAACAAATAAGGGGAAATATGGAGTGGAGGGAGCACTAATGAGGAGGATGGAAGTAACAGAGCTTTGTCGTGGGTGATTGGAAAGACGGTACCACATTTTACTGTGATGGTTAACGGCGGACGATGAGCTAGACCAGAGCAGCAAGAAAAAAAATTAATGAGTTTAACTTGAAAAAGGTAGAGTATAATTCTAGTAGATCAGGGCTGGAGCGATAGCACAGCGGGTAGGGCGTTCGCCTTACAAGCGGCCAACATGGCCAACCCGAGTTCGATTCCTCCGCCCCTCTCGGAGAGCCCGGCAAGCTACCGAGAGTATTCGATATGCCAGACACAGTAACAACAAAGTCTCCAATGGAGACGTTACTGGGCCCGCTCGAGCAAATCGACGATCAACGGGAGGGCCTTTACCTTTTACCTTTTAGATTTTATTTTTAGTTGAGATTCTGGTTTAGTTGAGCTGTTACTAATGATAATTCATTGTACACACTATTCCAACACCACCCCCCATCACCTGTGTACACCCTCTCTCTCTCAAGGACCTCAAATCCCCTCCCCCAACTCAATTATGTGGATCAGGTATTAGCTATACCTCTAGATATTTAAAGAGCAAATAGAAATGAGAGTGATCGGCATTATAAATTCAGAGATTTTTAAATGAAGCCATATATAATATGCATAACACGAATAACATCTCACACTGTAAACCTTACTTTCTCAGTATTGAATGCCTTTGGAGAACTAATTGAAAGAAAAAATTCTTAGGTAGAAAGTTCAGCTTATTTATTGTAGAATTCATGCCAAGAGCAATTGTATCATGAATAAATAAAATTACTTTCATTCAGGATTTTTATTCAGGTCATTATGCAGTAAAACTTTCAGGCAGTAAAACTGCCTGAAAGAATAGGGTGAGAAGCGGGAAACAATCAGATTCATTATTGCCAAGCCTTCATTGGATTATATATCATATCCATCTTGTTCATTTTATCCCAATGGAATAAAATTTAATTTTTTGGAAAATAATATTGGCTAGGTAGATTTCTGCTGATTTTGCTTTAATGATGAAGCAAACTAAGCATGTGTGATAGTCCAGGTGGACTTTTCTATCTATAGAGCGAATGATTTAAAAGGTTCAGGATTCGTACCACAGCTCCTAGGATTTGAAAGATTACTGATGAATCAAATGCACAACGGTAGGGCATTTGCCTTGCACGCAGCCAACATGACCGACCCGAGTTCGATTCCTCCGCCCCTCTCGGAGAGCCCGGCAAGCTACCGAGAGTATCTCGCCCGCGCGGCAGAGCCTGGCAAGCTCCCCATGACGTATTCGATATGCCAAACACAGTAACAACAAAGTCTCCAATGGAGACGTTACTGGGCCCGCTCAAGCAAATCGATGATCAACGGGAGGGCCTTTACCTTACCTTACCTTACCTTTACTGATGAATAGCTTAGCTTTGTAAAATTCGGCTTTTCCTGCTTATCTTAAATATATATTTAGAAAAAATTTTGATAGTAATAAAAGCAATTTACTTTAGGACAGCCAGAAGACACTACTGAGATTATTTTATATATTTATTTATCTATCTTTCCATAGAGTGAATCCAAAGTTAGGAGTGGTGATGACCTGCTACTAAAGTGATTAAGCATTTGGAATACAAGTGCCTTTCCCCCCTCCTTAACAAAGTTGCTTTTAATTTTAAAAGGTATTTTATTTGTTTAAGGGTATATTTGGATAATTATTTTACCTTATTTCAGATAATACCCCAAAATACATAACTTTAAAAAAGTTTTTCTTTTCTTTCAGGAGTCGGGAGAAAGCAGTGGAAGTTGAAGTTATTGTCAGATGATTGAGATCTTTTACAAGAAAATCCCATTGAATAAATGTCATTGTAATTAGTGACATAACAGAACCACTTATTAAAGGTTACTCTACAGGAAAAGTTAAAATTAAACAATGAGTCATCTGTGTATTTACATCAGATTATTGGGAGCCTGCTTGGTCATCATTTCTCATGTTCAAGGTAAGTCAGTATTCACTTAAGTAATCGTAATCTTACCTTTTTTTCAGTATGTTTCTTTTTTTCAGAAGCAATACTGTTTTATATCATTGTTTGCGATGTCTGGTTTTACATTGGACATCTGTTTGTACTACTTTTTGATCACCACCACAAGTCGAGTCTTCCATACATCACCTTGTAGTTTAATATCCATCCCCTTTCCATCCCCTCCTCCCCCAAGTCCTCTTTTCCTTTGTTAACCTCCATCCTGGCTTTGTTTTATTCGTTCTGCCATTATACTCTGTCCTTGGCCCCTGAGTCTGTTCTCTTATCTATAAGATATGCATGATCATATGCAACTGTGTGAGATAAAGAATATTTGTTTTCTTACTTTTAATTGGGGCCTCTCCCAGTGATGGCTCGGCTGGCCCAGCCCAGCAGTGGTACTTGGGTGGCCGCACAGTGCCGGGGATCAAACTCAGGCCCTTGCGGATGCTAATAGTTTTCTACTACTCCCCTGGCCTCTGAAATAAAGTATAAAATAAATACCTGGCCTGTTGTCGGCCATGATAGGTACTCAAGACTCAGATTCAGAATTGCTGTCTCCCGCAGGGAGAAAGCAACAGGGTCAAGGGCATATGCTTAGGATACTGGTCTTGATTCTGGGTGGATCCCCAGGCTGCATGACCCCTCGCACCTCTGGGCATAACAGTCATGGCCCCAAGCACTGCAGGGGTGACCCTAACCTTCCGCCCTCTGGCCTGGTTAACCAAGTATCCCTGGGTTTAACTCCCCCACTCCCAAGGCCTCCTTCCCCCTCACTTAATAAAATTCCTGTTTTTTTAAAATACAAAGAATACTTTAAGTTAAAAATTATTTCATTGTTAAAAGCCTTCAAGTGTCTGTGGACTTGTGTGGGAATACTGAAAACTTTCATAGAGTACTGTCGTTTTATGACCAGTATTAAAATTTTACTGTTGTGTGTTCACAGCTTGGGACTTCCAAACAGGAAGTTATTGTGATGACTCGTAGGATCAGATGGACTCTATTTACGCATGAACTTTTTCCTGTATGGTTTAATTAGGACAGTATTTTAAACCAGAGAGGCAGTACTGCTTTGCAAAAGAACTTTAGATAGAACTTATTAAACATCTTTATTCTCAACCTTGGCTTCACATATTACCATTTCAAATACTCTGCTTTCAGTATTCTGATGATAATCAGAAATATTGACGGTAAATATCTTTTGGCTTTTTTATTTAAAACATGAATATGCCTGAAATCTTACTTCTGTTTTTCTTTATTTTGGTTATTTTCTGTTTTTCTTTTGGGGGTAGAGCTGGCCGTGGGATATGTGGTTGGAGCCACATCCTGTGGTGGTCAGCACTTACTCCTGGCTCCGTGCTGAAGGATCCTTTTACTGGGGGAACCATGTGGTCCTGGGGATCAAACCCTAGTACAGGGCAGGCAGGAGCCCTGCCCACTCTCCTGTCTCTCCTGCCCGTCCACAGTGTTTTGTATTTAATTAAGTCCTCTATTCAGTTATGAGGTTTCAGTTTGAATCCAGCCATAATCAACATTTTTACAGGCCCAAGAGAGTACAGCAAGTAACCCGCTTGCATTGCACCTCAAAAAACCCAGGTCCAGTCTCTAGCATTACATAGGTGCCCCACACCTGACTCCTGCCAAGTGTGGGGGGGGGAGGGGGGCATGGAATAACTCGTGGTTTGTGGATGAAAATTAGGACTTGGATCCTTGATTTCTCGGTGTTATTTCTATCACTTGTAATTCTTCTTTTATGCAAGTAGTTTATTAAAAATCAATTGCATGTAATTTTGATGTTTGTTTTCTATAGTTAAATTGAACTTCCTTCTATTGTTATAATAAGATTGGGGAGGGGGGCAGGCACATCCGGGGTACTCAGAGCTTACTCCTGGCTCTGTGGATCACTCAGGGATCACTCCTGCTAGTGCTCAAGTAACCATATGTGGTGCTGGGAGTTGAACCCAGGTTGGCCGCATGCAAGGCAATTGTACAGTTTACCTGCTGTACAGTCTCCCCAGCCTTGGAAATAAGATCTTAAAATTGTTAAAGACTCATATGCCCTCTAGTTCTACACTCTGAGTAAATGAAGGAGGCCTGGAGAAGTGACATAACTTGTCCATGGTCATCCAGCTGACTGAACTGGACAACAGTAGACCAGAATCCATATTTCTTGGTGGATTTTTTCCTGCTTCCCTCTCAGCATCTCCCAACTGTTCCCTTACAGTTGATGTTTTGGGAGTTTGCGGGGGCGGGGGAGGCGGTTTGGTCCACACTTGGCAGTGCTTAGTGGCTATTCCTGGCTATGTGTTTGCTGGTTGTGCTGGTTATTCCTGACGGTTTTGCGGACCATGCACTTTTGGAAATTGAACCGCAGTTGATTGTGTGCAAGGCATGCAACCTAACCCCTGTACTATCTGTACCTTGAGCTACAATCCAAGTTCTTAGCATCAATGAGAACTTTTAAGTTCTTTAGCATTTTAGAGGATTGTGAGGACCTTATTAAAATTTAAGGCGGGCCAGTGATATATACAGAAGGTAAGGCATCAGCCACTGCTCTGGACCTTGATTCAAATCCCCAGCACTGCAGATGGTCCCCTGAGCACTTCCAGGGATCACTCTTTAGCACAGAGCCAGGAGTGATCCCTCAGCACCATTGGGTGTGACCCCAAATCACCACTACCTCCAATTTTAGCGTATGGAGTCATTAAAATTTATTTAGCAACAATTACCTTCCTGTTCCCAATATATGTATATGTATAATTTTTTTTTTAACTTACATGTATGTTTTGGGTGGATGTCCCAGGAAATGTTCTGGAGGCCTGGGCTCGTATCTAAGCAGTTCTCAGCTAACTGGGCCTGAAAATTAGTGTGAGGGTCTAAAGACGTGATGCTGCTTGGGCTCTGCAATGTGGGGGATTGTCTAGGCTGCTGGCAGGGCACCTGGTGATACTCAGGGGACCATGTGGTGCCGGGGTTGTGACCAGGGTCAGTAGCATGTAAGGTGTAATCCATGTGCTCTCCAACCTCTATAATGTATTACTGTTTTTCCTTTTCAGTGGTTCATCTCTCCAGTTTGACTAAATTTAAAGTCACGTTCACTGTGCATTAAAGCACTTATTTTTTAAATGTTTATAATAATACATAATTTCTCTTAATATTTCATACCTTTTGTCTCTACATTTCATTTCCTCTGTATGGAATAGTCTTAATCAATTTCAGCTGATTCAGAGGAAGGAATTACTAAAACGTTGTAATTCTGTTCTACTCTTATAAGCCCGTAATATTTAAGTCCCAAATATGGCTCTCCCTGAGAGAGAGAACACAAGGGATTGCCCTGCCACAGAGGCAGGGTGAGATGGGAGGGATGGGGGTGGGAGGGATATTATCCATGGTGGTGGAAAATAGGCACTGGTGGAGGGATGGGTATTTGATCATTGTATAATCGAAACCCAAGCACAAAAAATTATAAATCTACAACTGTACCTCATGGTGTTTCACTAAAAATTAAAAAAAAATTTAAAAAAAAGGGACCAGAAAAAAAAAATATGGCTCTCCCTGTCATTTGAAACTACTAGACTTTCAGGAAAAGTACAGTTTTATTTCTCTAAGCTGGCCATAGCCCTCCAGTAACCTTCAGATTCTGGCAGAATGGTCTGGATTTGAACCAGTGACCTTGAGGTAAGAGGCACCAGATAATGTGATTAGTCTCGCACTCTCACAATTCCCTTACTCAAGCAGCTCAAGTCTAAACCAAGGTGCTTTGTAGCTCCAGGGTCACATAAGTGGCACAGATAAAGGGCTTGCTTTTTAAGCTGGTCAAAGCGTGAACTGAAGCGTTTAAGCAAAGAATAATGTTTTAAAAATTGGAAAAGAAAAAAACTGATTGTTAACCCTCCTTCTTCTCTGTTTGCTGGAAGTGGCAGTGTTGCTTTGGTGATCAGGGGTCTCATGCACTTGGCTGTGGTGCTTAGGAACTTGACTGTGGGAGTTTGAATGGCTGCGCATGTCATTGCAGTGCTCAGAGACTTCATCCTGGTACTTGGTGCTTGGGCACACTTTGGTTTCTTTGCTCTCCAGGGAACACGCATTTGGTTGCAGTGCTTACTTGCTAGTTCTGCTGCCTGCTTTGGTCACCTTCTCTTTGTTGGATGAACTAGCATACTGAGGATTGCACACTTGCGGGGGCAGTGGTGATTAAAAATAGCAGTGACAGCGAGGTCACAAACGCGGGGCAGTGCTGGAGATCCAACTCTTGTGTTAAGGCTCGCAAAACAGGCACACTGCAGCTGTCCCCTTCACCCGGCCTACGGCCCAAGAACCTCCTCCTTATTATTTTATTAATAGTGTTAATTTGATTTTAACCTCCCAAACAGTGGCCTGGCATCTGGGCCATTCCTAATAGTCCAGTGCTCAGGCCGACTGGATGCATTGCTGCTTAAGGCCACACCCATTGGTGCTCAGGGGTCTCGAGGGCTACCCACACCAGTGCTTGGGGGCTATGTGCTAAGGATCGAATTCAGGTCCTTGTGCATGCATGGCGTGTGCCTTTGACCACTGAGCTTTCTCTCCAACCCATGTAGCGGTTTTTGTTGTTTTTGTTCTTGTCCCCACCCCCACCAGGGATTCAACCCAGCACCTCAAACATGCAAGGCAAGTACTCTAATGCTAAGCTACCATCCTCGGGCCCCAAATGCTCTATTTTTTAATGGTTGGCAGTAATCCCAGCCTTTCCTGAAATTGTTTCCCACTTTGTACCTTCGTGCAAGTTATGATCATATTGTACCCTTTCCCTAGTACAAAAATTGTGACATTGTTACGGATTGCAGTACATGGGATAGTAGTTTTGTGCATACTGGATTATTAGTAGATGTGTGTTAATTGTGTGGATTTATTTTTTCATTGTCTCTTTGATCAGGTATTCATTAAAAATCTAGCAGTCCAAAAGGATTTGCCTTTTTGAAATTTGGTTTTTAATTAGCACATTAGCTTCAGTCACTGTGATAAGAAAGCTCAATCTTTTCCTTGTTGAAAATTGAAATCAAAGAATTAGCTTATCAGAAATGGTTGCTTTACACATTTTATCTTTGAATACAGGGCAGAATCTAGATAGTATGCTCCATGGAACTGGGGTGAAACCGGACTCCGACCAGAAGAAATCAGAAAACGGAGTAACCTTAGCACCAGAGGATACCTTGCCTTTTTTAAAGTGCTACTGCTCAGGACACTGCCCAGACGATGCTATTAATAACACATGCATGTAAGTATTTTATACAGTCCTTCGGGTTATAAGAATAGGGTTACACTTAGTGCTATTTTAAGAGCTGTTTGCATTTTCTATTCTTTTTCCTTTAACTTTATATAGTATCTAGTCCAAGAGCCAAAAAGCTTCTTACTCTGTTCAAAGGAATGTTTATTACCACTAAGTGATTAATGGCTACTTTCTTAGAATAAATTGTAATATAGCTTTTTAAAGTAGAGAATAGGAACTTGATATTTGTTCAATATTTTTAGTTTATTTGGTGATTCCTTTTTTGTTTTGGGGCCACACTGGTGGTGCTCATGAGTTACTCCTGGCCCTGTGCTCAGGGATCACTCCTGGTGGAGCTTGAGGGAGCATATGGGTTGAATCCGGGTCAGCCACATGGAAGGCAAGCTCCCCACCTGCTGTGTACCTGCTCCGGCCCCTTCCTCAATAGTTTATTGTAGAAAATTTAGAGGTTACCCCCTCCTCCTCAAACTAAAAACAACACATACCTACATGAAAATTCACTCAAAGCATTTTGAATCTACCTTCGTTGAAATATTTTTTAGACATATAACACACATCTTTTTTTTTTCTTTTGGGGTTTGAGGTTTGGACCACAATATTTTTATGCTTAGGACCTATTCTCAGCTCTGTTCAGGGCTTACTTTGTTTTTGAGGGTCTTTTACATTTTTAATTTTTTGAATTTTTTATTAATTTGAGTTACAAAGGGTTGTTTACAGTAATTGGTTACATTCAATATTTCAACACCAGTACCACCACCATTACACCTTCCCATCCCATTATTTCAAATTTTCCCAGCACCACCCAAGCCTGACCCAAAAGCAGATGCTGAATAATTTATCTTGTATTGCTTGTTGGGCTGGAGTGATAGCACAGCGGTAGGGCCTTTGCCTTGCACGCAGCCAACATGACCGACCTGAGCTCAATTCTTCCACCCCTCTCGGAGAGCCTGGCAAGCTACTGAGAGTATCTCGCCCACACGGCAGAGCCTGGCAAGCTTCCTGTGACGTATTCGATATGCCAAACACAGTAACAACAAAGTCTCCAATGGAGACATTACTGGGCCCACTCGAGCAAATCGATGAACAACGGGAGGACAGTGACAGTGACAGTATTGCTTGTTATGAATAATTGACTAAAAATGCTCCCAAAAAGTTTCCTTAGAGGAAAGTGTGTGAAAATTGTTGTATCTCATTGTGAAACCGTTTAGTCCCTGTATTAGAGATCATTAACATGTTGTTAGAGTTTTGAGTCTTGTGTGCCAATATCTGTGTATATATACATATATACATATATATTTTTTTTTGGGTCAAGATTGGTTGTCTTCAACCTTACACCCCATCAAATGTGGTGTGCTACTCTTGGTCTATATATCAGTGGCAAAATCGTATGAGCTGTGGCACGGCAGCCAAAGCAGCATTGGCTGACTTTAGTCAGCGCTTAGGAGACACGTGCAGTGCTGAGGGTCAAGCCAGGGTCAGCTGCATATACGACAACTGGCCTTAACCCTATACTAACTCTCTGGCTCTAATTTTGTTGTTTTTTTTTTTTTTACAAGAGGCTTTCCATTTAAGTAGTATTACGTAATCCTCTTAATTTCCCTACTTGGTTATATACTTTATGCTAAAGTTTATACTATGTACTTTATGTTAGACCTTTTATATAGGATCATGTAATTATTCCTATTCCATATTCTTTGGAAAGATTGAAAAATTAGCTTACCAGCCCAAAAAAGTTCTTTGAAATACTTAGTTTTACTGTTAATCATGTCCCTGTTGTAATGATAAAGGTCAGTGCCTTGTTTTATACTTTATTAATAATTTTCTGAATGCGACCAGATATAATGCACAGAAGTTTACAGAAACTTGAAATCATGTGATGTAAAATGTGTACTCCTGAAGCCATAGGATGCTTTATCATGCCTTATTTACTGTTCATTCCCTGGGGGTTGTTGACTTTATTGTAACCGGTGGGTGGTCTACTGTATGTAGGCAATGCTTGCAGTGCTTCCCAATAGCCATCGCTAATTTTTTCATCAAATTTGTCTATGATACCTGTCCGGTATTCATGGGCTATTTATCAGTGGCTAGTAAATCAAAATAAAAGCTCAGCTATCAATTATATCACCATTTCACCCCTCTTATCTCCTCACAGAAAATTGATAATTCTGTACTTTTTTTTTGGTTTGTTGTTTTTTTTTTTCGTTTTTGGTGTTTGGGTCACTCCCAGCAGTGGTCAGGGGACTGGTCAGTGCTCGGGATTGAAGCCAGACCTCTAGCATGCAAGGCATGCACTCCAGCCCTCTGAACCATCTTCCTGGTCCTAGAATCCCCTTTTGAAAGAAATGTAGTAGCTAGTGATTAGAAAGCAGGTGGGCTGAGGATGTAGCTCAGTGGTAGAGTACCAGCAGGGCTGAGCACCAAGCCAGGAGCCTCCCCTAAGTACTGCAGATGTGTCCCCAAAACAAAACTGGTTATTTCATAGACTTTTATAAGCCAGCGTTCATAACCCCTTGACCATGGTTAACAAAGAGAAGTTACATTGTGATAGTTCTTGTTTGGGCGACTTATTTAATAGAAGTCTTTTCCAACTGACATAAGACTTTTTTGTTTTCAATTATACCTTTCGGGCTAGGCTGTGGCATCACAGTACTGCTTATTCAATTTTTGTTTGTGTTTGGGCCACCCTCAGCATTGCTCCTGGGCATCTCCCAGTTCTGTGCTCGGGGGTTGCTTCCTGCAGGCAGTGCCTGTGGTGAAACCTGGCCTGGCTGCTTGCAACATCAGTGTCTTACCGCTGGACTGTCTCTCTGGTTCAACAATTTTAATTTGCTTTGAAACCCATGTGGTGTTTCCAGTAAATCACACGTGAGTGTAATTCTAATTTTATTTCATTGTATTGCATTTGGGGTTACACCTGGAGATACTCGGGGTCTTTTTCTGGCTCTGCTGTCAGGAATCACTCCTGGCAGTGCTCAGAGATGCCGAGAATCCAACCCGGCTCAGCCACATGCAAGGCAGATGCCCTACCCACTGAACTATCACTCCAGCCCCCGCAATTCTAATTTTAAAAAAATCAAGGCGTTCACATTCAGACTCAGATTTAATTAATTCTTTCTGGGGTGACAGTATCACTTATTTCTTTTAACCTACTTTTCTTGTAGAACTAATGGACATTGTTTTGCCATCATAGAAGAAGATGAACAGGGAGAAACCACATTAGCTTCGGGTTGTATGAAATATGAAGGATCTGATTTTCAGTGCAAGGTAAGATTTGATTTGCATCCCATAAAGAAAGCGAGCAGAGCCTTGTGAATCGCCTTGTGAATCGCTGATTTCCACCTCCCCACCCCAGCCCCCAGGAGAAGTTCTCAGGATTGGTAGTAACTTGGAAGGTTGTGTGTTTCAGCCTCTTGGCTGATGTTAGAAGCCCTCACACAGTGCATGGCATCTATGTACTTAGATTCAGGTACTCGCTATTATCTCCAGTAACAACCTGATCTGATCTGTGATGCTTTTCCTGCCAGTACTAAAAATCTATGTTCTGGCCTCTCTTTGAACCATAAGGAGTAATCTGAACTCTCTTTAATATGAAAGTCACTTATGATGGGACAAAAGTGGGCTTTCTTTCGGGGAGGGAGTCCTGGTTTTCTCCTAATACCTGTCAAAACATGTCAAAGAAAGCGGTGGTTAGAGCAGCATTTCTTAGCCAGGGACTATATAGATGCTATGGGACCCAGATATTCAAGGGGGTCACAGGTAAAAATGGTGTCAATGGGGGGCTATGATGTTAGGGCCATAGAAGGCCTGCAGAATGATTTGGTCTGGCCTTGGTACCTGATGGGACAGACAGGCACGCTTCTTGTCAACAGTATTCTTGTCAGCAGCCCATAGCCATCTGTCTCTGTTGCATGACCCGCAATGATGATACAAATATCCAAATGGCCCTTGGTAGTAAAATAGAGTTTTCTGACATATTCTTCAATCGCAACTGGGGTCAGTCCAAAATTACTTCTAGAGGGGGGCAGAGTGATAGTACAGCGGGTAAGGCATTTGCCTGGTACATGGCCAACCCAGGTTTGATCCCAAGTACCCGGTTATGGTCCTCTGAGCCTGCCAGGAGGAGTCCTTGAGTGCAGATCCAGGAGTACACCCTGAGCACTGCTGGGTGCACACTCCTGCCATAGCAGCAGAGGGGGCCAGGGGCGGGAGAGGAACTGGGACATTGGAGGTGGGAAATAAATATACATTGGTGAAGGAGTGGCTGCTGGAACATTATATGACTGAACCCAACCATGAACACCTTTGTAACTGTATCTCACTGCGGTTCAGTAAAAAAAATAAAATAAAACACGAAATCGAAATTTTCTTTATCCTCTGTTGCCTACTTCTTGTTAGCAAAACAAACGTTACTTGTAGGGATTCTCGCACTGCTAGAGACCCTTTCTTGACTTTTCTTTACATTTTCTCTGAGTAAAGCCTTAAGTGCCTTTTTTGAGGTTTAGCCTTCCTGAAACTTAGATGCTTTGCACTACTTATTCACCTGTATTTTTTTTCTTTCATCCTTCAGTTAAGTTTTCTTGAGATTATTTCATCTGTGTAAACTGCTAGCATAAATCCAAGTAAATCCAAGTAAACCTGAGGAAAAGGCAGAAAATTATAAATAATCGATATAGCAAAGAAGCAATACTCTTGACCTGTCTTCCCTGACAGAATCTGCAGGGTTTTTGGAAGGCGGGGAGGAAGGCACATTTAGCCCTGTTGGGGGCTGCGCCTGGCTCTGTGCTCAGGAGTGCCCCCTGGTGGTGGTTGGCACCACATCTGCATGTGGTTAGTGAATAGTATCACGTGCAAGGCAAGTGCCTTAATCCCTGTTCTATCCTCCAGATTATTCTGATAGAATCGTGTTTGTTTGTTTTTTTTTCCTTTTGGTGCCTTGGTCACAGTCAGGGATGCTCAAGAGTTACTCCTGGCTCTATGCTAAGGAATTACTACTGGTGGTGCTTGGGGGACCATATGGGATGCCAGAGATTGAACCCGGATTGGTTGAGTCCATAGCAAGTGCCCTACCTGCTATACTATCTCTCCGGCCCCTAATAGAATCTTCAGTCCTGATTTTATCATCTGTCTAGATTGGTGGTTCTCCCAAGTAGTACCAAAATGTCAATATTCAAGTTAAGTTGCTGGATGCTCTGTTTTCAATCAAATAAAACTTCACACATAATTGCTAATGATTACAACCTTTTTGGTTCATTTGTTTTCGGGCTATACCAGACTCTGCTTAGGGGTTACTCATGACTCTACACCCAGGAATCACTCCTGGTGGTGCTCGGAGAACCACATGGGATGCCAGTTGTCAAACCCCTATCTGCCATGTACAAGGCAAACTCTCTACCCACTATACTATCTCTCTTTTATTTGGTGTTCATCTTATGATAGTTAGTGGCATATTTTATATCTGGTTAGGATTTCTTTTCTTTTTTTCTTTTTGGGTCACACCCTGCAATGCTCAGGGGTCACTCCTGGCTCTGCTGCACTCAGGAATCACTCCTGGCGGTGCTCGTGGGACCATATGGGATGCTGGGAATCAAACCCGGGTCAGCCGCATGCAAGGCAAATACACTACCTGCTGTGCTATCGCTCCAGCCCCTGGTTAGGATTTCTTAAAAATCTCTCAAGGACATTGTTTTGTTTCAGGAGGGGGAAAAAAAACCTTGTGAATCCTTAACAAAACCCTTCTCATAATCTGGAAGCTTCCCTGCTTTCCCCTTTCTTAAGTAAATTCTTTATGAATTTAACAAAAGAAACAATGAAAAACTGGCAGTTTAAAATCTTTTAATTTAATTTTTTTAATAACATTTTTATATTTTGCCATTTTCCTCACCAGGAATGATGCGGCTTGCTTTTTCCACTCCAGGTTCATTAACTTCAAAACAGTTCTTTCAGTCCTCAGTTCTGAGCATCTACTACCTGACTGCCTCTCTTTTCTTTGCACTTGGACACTCGTCACTAATCTTACATCTTCTGCATCTCAGTCTCGGGGTTACGATAAGATCATCATTACCCTGCTACGTTATTGCTGTAATAAAACAGACTGTCTTTTTTAATTAAATATGAAAAGAGCTTTTGACCTTTTCTTTTTAAATTTAAACAGTTATTGTTTTTATTTCCTCCCCTTTCTCTTCATTGTTGTTGCTGTTGTTGTGGCAGCAAGCAGGGGTTCCACACATGCCTGTCTTTGATGTGTGCACGCTGTTAGCTGTGATGGTTGTTTGGGGTCGCCCCTGGGGCTGTAGTGCTGCTGTGCTCACCCTGGGGCATGGTGTTTGCACATGTGTTCTCACACTCTCAGCTGAGACGCCCAAGGTATGGGTGTGTGCTTGCTGGATATCTCTGTTTGACTCACACACATGCTCTCCTGACTTCAGACTCCATAACTGTGGCATTGACACATGTTTTTAGTTGTGGTACATGCAGGGAGGGGTACACCTTTTTGTGGTGCTCGCAAGCCCATCTGTAGTCTGGTCAGAGATCCCTTGCAGCACCTGGCATCACAGACAGCAAAGCTACGAGGCTTCCGCTTGGCACACACGGACTCCAGGCATTTGAACTCATGACCATCTGCTTGCAGGAGAAGCATTCAGAAATGCTGAGCCATGAGCTCATGACTTTAGAATACTTCCTTTTTTAAACAAGCAACGGATTAGTATGATGAGGCAGACCAAAATTGGACTGAGGAAATTGCTCAGGGGGCTGGAGCTGATGAATGTGGGAGCCCTGGGTTCACTCTCCAGCATTCTGCATTCTGCAGTCCCTCGAGCACCACCAGTGTGGGCTTACCTCGTCTGCAAAAAAAATTAGGCCAAGAGTTTGGTGGAAAATACTTACAAGCAGCTAGAGATGGAACTCAGTGGTAGAGCACTTGCCTATGTGTTCAAGGCTCTGCGTTTGATCTCTAGCACAGCCAAAAAGGTAATTCAGAAATACTTATAAAACTTCATCTAGGTTATAGTCTGTATTCCCACACACATGTAGGTTTCCCCCCCCCTTATGATCAACTAGCTTATGATTTTCACTATTTTCGCACAGTATCTCAGTAATTGTTTTTGCTCCAAAAAATATTTGGTAGAGGTAGGGGGGGCGGGCTGCCAGGCAGTGCCCGAATGTTCACGCTGCACTGTTCAGCTGAACCAGCGGCTCAGTGAAAGGGTCTGAAGATGGGGCAGAATAATCAGGCCCCACAGATCCGGGATTACCTAGACCCCCCCTGGAGCAGTTTGGTACCCCCCAGGACTACAACCAACATTGCCCAGGGCCCGAGGTTTGTGCTTGCATGCTTAGGAGACCATCTAGTGCCAGATCGAACCTAGGTTAGACAAGGCTAAGCATGTACCCTTGCTACTATCCTTCCTTTAACTAAAGTTTTATGCATTCTTTTGATATACCGAATTAGAAATTGTATTTTTATATTTAAAAGAATTGATTATTTGAAATTATATTTCAAATAGGTTATTTCTATATTACAAATATATATTTACTGGTTTTGGCATATCGAATACCCCACAGATAGCTTGCCAGGCTCTGCCGTGCGGGCAGGATACTCTTGGTAGCTTGCCAGGCTCTCTGAGAGGGATAGAGGCTTTTGGGGCAGCCTCTAATCACCCTTGTAATATATTTATATATTTACAAATATATAAAAATATATATTTGTATTTCAAATAGATAATCAATTCTTTTATTTTTATTTATTTAATTATTTATTTGTTTTTGCCTTTTGGGTCACACCCGGCGATGCTCAGGGGTTACTCCTGGCTCATGCACTCAGGAATTGCTCCTGGCGGTGCTCAGGGGACCATATGGGGTGCTGGGAATCGAACCTGTGTTGGCCATGTTGGCTGCGTGCAAGGCAAACGCCCTACCCGCTGTGCTATCGCTCCGGCCCCTAATCAATTCTTTTAAATATAAAAATACAATTTCTAATTCAGTATACCAAAAGAATGTATAAAACTTTAGTTAAAGGAAGAACAGTAATTAGGGTGCATGCTTAGCACTGTGTCTAACCTAGGTTCAATCTCTGGCACTAGATGGTCTCCTAAGCACGCAAGCACATAGCCTCGGGCCCCTGCGCACTGCTGGTTGTGGCCCTGGGGGATTGTCTATTTGTCACAGAGGGTAGGGCATTTGCCTTGCACGCGGCCGACCCGGGTTCGATTCCTCTGTCCCTCTCGGAGAACCTGGCAAACTACCGAGAGTATCCCGCCTACACAGCAGAGCCTGGCAAGCTCCCCATGGCGTATTCGATGTGCCAAAAACAGTAACAACAATTCTCACGATGGAGATGTTACGGGTGCCCGCTCGAGCAAATTGATGAACAACAGGAAGACAGTGCTACAGTGATTATCTGTTTAATTGGAGGGCAGGTTTGGGCCACATCCTGTAGTGCTCAGAGTCTACTCCTGGATCTGTGCTCAGGAGTGAGTCTTGGTGGTGCTTAGGGGATCGGATGTGGTGTAAGGGATTGAACCAGGCTTGGGCACATACAGAGCAAGCGCCTTACCTTCTTTACTGTCTCCAGCCACTTTATTTTCCACTTAATATATCAAACCATTTCCAATTTTTATCATTATTTTTCCTCTAGGATTCACCAAAAGCTCAGCTACGAAGGACGATAGAGTGTTGTCGGACCAATTTATGTAATCAGTATTTACAGCCCACGTTGCCCCCTGTTGTTATAGGTAGGTTAACGAATGAGCATGGTTCTCAGTAAACTATTTATCTGGCTTTAACAGTACACAAGCATTCCAGAACTTAATATTTTAAAATAAAACATGATGATTGTTTACTTCCCTCTCTGCTTTCGTTTCAGGTCCGATTTTTGATGGCAGTGTTCGTTGGCTGGTTGTGCTTATTTCCATGGCTATCTGCATAATTGCTATGATCATTTTCTCCAGCTGCTTTTGTTACAAGTAAGAAGATATTGTATTGTAAGAAGATATTGTATTGAATACTAGATATAAATAGTTGTTCTTAAAGTCGAGTGACAGAAAACATTGAGCACTGCGTTCCCAATTAGGAAATCATTACACTGTGTACTTTGGTGATGTGTTTTTAGTTATTTTTATCTGGTTTTTGGTTTTTGGGACACACTCGGTAGTGCTCAGGACTTAGTCCTCACTCTGAGCTCAGGGGTCATTTTTGCTGACTCAGGAAACCATATGTGGTACAGGGGATGGAACCCAGGTTGGCGGCATGCAAGGCAAGTACCCACTGCACTGTGTTCCATTAATTTAGCTAGATACTAATTTTCTGAAAATATAAGACCTGGCTACTATTTATTAATTGACTCCAACTTTATGCTTTTATATTCATGAGTACTTAAGACTTTTTTATTTACGCACTTTAAGGACCAGAGCAGTAGTACAGGAGGTAGGTCTCTTGCCTTGCATGTTGGCAATCCAGGTTTGGTCTCTGGCATCCCATATGATCCACTGAACCTTTTCAGCTTTTCAGGAGTGATCCCTGAATGTAGGCCAGGAGTAAGTTCTGCGCACCACTAAGTGTGGCCAAAAAAATGGGAGAGAAATTTAGAGTATGTTTCTCTCTCTCTCTCTCTCTCTCTCTCTCTCTCTCTCTCAGTGCATACATATATATGTATATGTAAATCTATATATATATGTAGATAGATAGATAGATAGATAGATAGATAGATAGATAGATAGATAGGGAGGTGGGTGGGGGAGACTGTCATGGATGGAACCCAAGTTGTCACATGCAAGGCAAGTACCCTACCCATTTTACTATCTCTCCAGCCTTGAGTGTTTGAATGTTTGAAATCTATCCTAAGAAACCAATTGATTATCCATTTTTGGACTTCAGAGTTTTTTGTGTTTAGTCATAATTTCAGAAAACAGTTACCAAAAAAGCAGAGTTGTAAGAGGAGACAGAGCATAAGCTTCAGTGATGAAACCATTGTACTGGCATATCAGGTGTGTAAAGAGCCAAGCCCATTAATATATATGCAAGCATATAAAGAAATTCAATATATAATAAAGAGAACATTTCAGACCACTGAGTAAAAAATATGGATTATTTGAAAATTGATATGTCAAGGCCAGAGCAATAGTACAGCAGATAGGGTATTTGTCTGACATGCAGCTGACCCAGGTTCGATCCCCAGCATCCCATATGGTCCCCAAGCACCACCAGAGCAACTCCTCTGAGTACAGAGCAAGGAGTAATCCTTGAGCATCAACAGGTGTGGCCCAGAAGTCAGCAATAACAGCAAAAAATAATTATGGGACTCAGGTAGCCATATGATTAAAAAAAAAAAGTGAAATCAGTTCAATTTAAACCTAAACCAAAAACTTTTACCAAAAGTTACTATACCGAAATAATGAATTTTAACTAGATTGGACCTATAAATTTCATGTATTTAGTGAATTGGAACTGTATGTTCCCTGTCTGCCACCCCCACCGACCCCCACACCTGTGCCAGATTAAACCCAGAACCTCACACATGCAGAAATGTCATAACACTGAGCTGTACCGCAGCCCAAAACTATATATACAATATATAGAAGACCTCTCCACATAAACTTAGAAATAAAAAAACTTTATGATGCTGTCTATGTAAAAATGATCCTTTATTCACCAAAGGGCCCAAGTAGCACCACATCCTTGGTCTGCTGTCCCAGTTGGCTGGGTATCACTGGGAATGGCTCCAAGACCTCTGAACCCTGCTTGGCAGGTCCCCCCAAACCCAAATTAAAGTAGAATAAAATGAAACTTTGCTCTATAGCACAGTGGGTAGGGCGTTCGCCTTACAAGCGGCCAACATGGCCGACCCGAGTTCGATTCCTCCGCCCCTCTCGGAGAGCCCGGCAAGCTACCGAGAGTATTCGATATGCCAGACACAGTAACAACAAAGTCTCCAATGGAGACGTTACTGGGCCCGCTCGAGCAAATCGACGATCAACGGGAGGGCCTTTACCTTTTACCTTTTGCTCTATAGCAAAGAGTTGATTTCTTAAATACGACATGCTTCTTTAAATCAAATGAAAGAAATCTCGTAGTTTGTTGAGAAAAGCGCCCCCCAAAACAATATACACAGGAGGAGTCTGGGATGTTTACCTCAGTGGGAGAACACATGCCTTCCATATATGAAGTCCTACGTGAGATCCCTGAATGAGATCCCTGGTACCAAAAAAACAAGCAAGCAAAAAACTCCACATGATTTATCTATTAAAAAAAATAGGTCTTAAATGTTTAATTAGGAGATCTTTTCCAGAAGTATGTTGAGTTCTGTTACTAGAAGAATAATAAATAAAGAGATTAAAAAAAAAATCAGGCGAACTGGAGATACAAGCAAAAAGGCCAGCATGTAGTAAAGAAGTAGAGTAGCACATTTGCCCAGCATATGAGGCTCTGGCTTCATTCCCAACACTGAGGGGGAAAACAAAATAGTGGCAGAATGAATTAAAGCTAAACGAGATATATCGTAAGCAATTTTGCAGACAAATTAAATTTGAATTCTTGGGGCCGGAGAGGTAATACAGTGGGTAAGACATTTTCCTTACATATGATTGACCCAGGCTGGATCCCTGGTATCCCATATGGTCCCCCAAGCCCTGAGAAGAGTGGCTCCCTGAGCAGAGAACCAGGAGTAAGCCCTGAGCATGGCCGGGCATAGTTTAATGCTTGGATCATTCCCTGTGGTTCTGGGAAATCATGCGGTCAAGCCCAGGGCCTCTTCTCTGCAGTTCCGTTGTACTTTTTGTTTCCACACCTCACTGGTAGTGCTCAGGGGTCACTCCTGGCAGGGCTCAAGGGACCATGTAGTGTTGTGGGGATCAAGCCTGGGCCAGCCGCATGCAAGGCAAGTGCCCTGTCTTCTGTATTACCTCTTCAGCTCCCATTGTACATAGTTTCACAGAGGATTAATTCTCCTTCAACAAACTAATGTTGTACATGATGATTTTCGAAGAAAAGATGATACTGTTGATAACCTCATACTTAATTTGAGAGGTTGGAGCAACAGTACAGCAGGTAGGGTTGTTTGTCTTGCACATGGCCAGCGCAGGTGTGATCTATAGCATCCCAAGCCCTGCCAAGAGTGATTTCTAAATGCAAAGTGAAGAACGAGCCCTGAGCTCTACTGACTGTGGCCCCAAAACAAAACTAAAAGATCAGAAATATTTAATTTTATTGTAACTGAATTTTAATGTAAATTATTTTCTGATTTTTTTTAAGACACTATTGCAGGAGCATCTCAAGCAGGCATTGTTATGATCCCACTTTGGGACAGGTTGAAGCATTTATTCCTGGTGGCGAATCATTGAAAGACCTTATTGACCAGTCACAAAGTTCTGGTAGCGGATCTGGACTACCTTTGTTGGTAAGATGAAATGTCATATAAACACAAATGCCTTATTGATACAAAACATATTCTCATACAGTGGTAGAAACATTACAAGGCACATCTTTATTTTTGAAGATGGCTGCAATAATGCAAGATGAAATTAGATTAAGAGAAATAGTGAAACAAGAAAAATAAAATGCGCAGGTAAGGGATCCAAAGCAAAACTGGGAACAAAAATGTGGTTTGAAGACCTTGTTAGAAGTCAGCTCATAAGTTACGCTTTTGACTCTCAATTTGAAGAATAATAAGCTTAGAGATGCAATAATAAGCTTGCATCTCTGTGTCAAATTGGTTGGATAAAATAGAACTATTTCAGATTGTGAATCAAAGGAAAGTTTCTCCCACAGATCATTTTAGAGAGGATATTTGCCTCAGTGTGATACTTGATGATTTATACAAATCCTAGTAGCTCTGGGATGGGGCTCAAGTGGTATATGCATTGCATATACGAGGCCCTTGATACAGTCCACTGCACCTCAGTCATGCATGCACACCAATATATTCTGTATGTGCCCGCAATGTATCTTCGGCCCACACTTTTCCTAGTTTTATTGAGCCTCAAAAAAAAGAAAAGTCAAAGCCATTTTGCTTTTTCCTTTGAAGGTTCAGCGAACTATTGCCAAGCAGATCCAGATGGTTCGACAAGTTGGTAAAGGTCGATATGGAGAAGTATGGATGGGAAAATGGCGTGGTGAAAAAGTGGCAGTCAAAGTGTTTTTTACCACCGAAGAAGCTAGCTGGTTTCGAGAAACTGAAATCTATCAGACTGTGCTGATGCGCCATGAAAATATACTTGGTGGGTACACGTTTATTTTAGTCGGGTGGGTATATATTCTGACAGGGTTCATGGGACGCAGTGTAAGAAACCTGCTGCATGAGCTCTGGTGGGTTTTTCGTTTGGGGCTTTGGTTTGGGGGCCACATCCGGTGGTGATCAGGTCTTGCTCCTGACTTTGTGCTCACGGATCACTCTCTGGTGGTGTGGAGGACCGTATGGGAGACTGGGGATGGAACAGACCTGCCCGCTGAGCTATCTCTCAGGCCCCTAGCCACACGAATTCTGAGATCCAGTAGAATACAGTTTAAATGCAACCCAATCCTGAATGCCACCCAGCCAGTTTATGCACTAACATCTGAGGAAATTGTGACTTTCAAACTAGTTTATTGGACTTACTCATATAATGAAAACCAAGTCTTTTATTGCTAATTTAGATGATTTTTGCCTTTTTATAATCTTAACTATCTCCGCTTCCTAGGTTCAGATCAGCATGGTCGCTGGGTACATAAACTCATCTAGCTTTCCTGACTTTTCTTTTCAGCTACTATTTCCCTACCATTTAATTTAAAGTGCATTGCGTATTGCCCTGCACCCTGAAAGGCTGGGCGGAGAGTTCGCATTGGTTTTCTAGTGCCCTCAAAAACAAATCACCAAAACCAGGATGACTTTAAAGCATCGAAACTTTGCGTCTCAGAGTTTTGGAGACCAGAAGTGTAGGCTGAAGATGAGTTTTCTTAGCAGTCCCTGTGGTCCTAGGGCCTTCTCCCCTCTTGTAGGAAAGCCAGTCACTAAATTAGGGCTCACTCTTACGTAGTATAACCTCATCTGAATGTGATTGTATCTCCCAAGACCCTATTTCTAAGTTAAGCACCAAGTAGACATGAGCTGTAGGTAGGGAACACTATTCAGCCTAGCTCTCAGGGACGGTTTCCTAAGGGAAGAGAAGGGAAAAGAGGCCAGGTTTTAGAGAGACAGACTGAGAGGGGAGATGTGAGGAGGCATTTGTGGGCAGACGGGCGTTAACTTAGGAACATTAGTTGCAAGTTCTGGGCTTTATCAAGAGTGTTCATTTTTAAGATGAAGAGTCCTTTCCATATTGTTGCTTTTAGTTCTTCATGTTTTAAGAATTGTTATGTGTATTGATAACATTTCCCCCAAGGTTGTTTCATGTGATCTTTTTTGTAATTGTATTGTCATTTTTATTGTTAACCTTAAGGTTGTCTTATATTTATTGAAGTCTTATAAAGTTATTTAATTAAATCACGAAAATTTTGCTAACCATATTCAAAGGACTTTTGTCCGACATACTGAATTTGTATTGCATTCTTCATTTTCACTTTTTTTCCCCTCCTCTGGGGATTCCCCCAGAGCCTCACACGTGCAAGGGAAATGCTCTCTTGCAGAGCTACATCCCTGGCCAAATTAAGTTGATACTGTTGACACATTATTCTTCATAACCTGAATGAACACTTAAGATTATTCCTAGCCACCTCTAATAACGAACCTGTAACGTCGTCCACCCATCAAACAGGTTTTATAGCAGCGGACATTAAAGGCACAGGCTCCTGGACACAGCTCTATCTGATCACTGACTACCATGAAAATGGCTCTCTCTATGATTTTCTGAAGTGTGCGACCCTAGATACCAGGGCTCTGCTCAAGTTGGCGTACTCAGCTGCCTGTGGTCTGTGCCATCTCCACACGGAAATATATGGGACTCAAGGGAAACCTGCAATAGCTCACCGAGACTTAAAGAGCAAAAACATCCTCATCAAGAAAAATGGAAGCTGCTGTATTGCTGACTTGGGCCTGGCTGTGAAATTCAATAGGTCAGTGTGGTTCTCCTGCTGTTTCTAGTTTGCAAACAGAATAATGAGTGCAAGAGTACTACTACAGATAGGATATTTTATCCATTGGAGGGTATTTTTATAATATCTAGTATATATTTAAAGGCTATATTTTAAATTTTTTATTCAGAGTCTGTGATTTATAATACGATTAATAATGGTTTCTCATGCACATAATTTCAGTATCTCACTTCCTCACCCCCAGAGCACTTGTGTGGATCAGTTCTCCTATTATGTTGCCTTTGGCCCTTTGTTGCTTATTTTTGTGTATCTTTAATTTCCACATGTGAGAGATCATCCTGTACCTATCCTTCTGACTGACTTGATATGTCAGTAGGTATAATTTTTTGAAACACGGGTGCTAATTTTCAAAAGAGGGTTGGCAGTGTGACCCAAGTGACGGGAGCACATGCCTTATGTATGAGATCCCAGATTTGGTCCCCACGTGGTCTCACTAAGTACTGCTAGGCGTAACCCTGGTAGCCCCAACTTCCTCTGACAGTGGCCCTGAGCCTATACAACAATAGTGTTGATCGTGCCCATTTTGTATGGACTAGCCTCATGGATTTCCTTTGGGATTTTTTTAAAAATTTGGTTTGGTTTGGTTCTAGGGTTACACCCAGGAAAGCTCAGTAGTTACTCCTGGCTCGCTGCTCAGAATTACTCTTGGTGGTGCTCATGGGACCATGTGAGATGCCAGGAATCAACCCCATGTCAATCGTATGCAAGGCAAGCGCCTTACCCACTGCGCTATTGCTCTGACCCCACGTTATTTTTGGTTTGGGGGCCATATCCAATGGTGCTCTGGTCTTACTCCTGGCCCTGCACTCAGAGGTCAATTCTGGAAGTGCTCAGGGTGGCCAAATGTGGTGCCAGGGACCAAACTCTGATTTGCTACGTACAAGGCAAGCACTCTACCTGTTCCCTCTTTGGTCCTAGCTCCAAGGGTTTCTGATAAGGGAGTGTGGAAAGACAGACAGTTTGTGCAAAAGGTCACAAGAAGTCAAACTTTTATTGTTAACTCAGTCTGGACATTGTCCTCTCTTACAGTGATACAAATGAAGTTGACGTGCCCTTGAATACCAGAGTGGGCACCAAACGCTACATGGCTCCCGAAGTGCTAGATGAAAGCCTGAATAAAAATCACTTCCAGCCCTATATAATGGCTGATATCTACAGCTTTGGCCTGATCATCTGGGAAATGGCTCGGCGTTGTATCACAGGAGGTAGGCGTTATGGTAGTCTGTTTTAGTTATGGTTATATTCACCGTTTGAAAACCAACATCTGTGGTTATGTGGTTTTAAGGTCATGTAAGTCAGGTATCCTCAGGACCACTCCCCAATCTGATGCTTTTATTAGAGGGGCTCATCATGTCGCTGCAAATAAGATTTATTACATAAAGCTATGATTTTTAATATGCATATATACAGGATATATTTCAGATCTACCTTTACATGCAAAATATTTAAATACAGCTAAGATTGATTGCAGTGAGAAGATACAAGTCAGATTAACAGTGGGGGGAAAGGTCAGAAGAAAGTGAGCACCAGCTTCCAAAAATCCTCAGTGGAATGACAGAGGGTGTGCTTAATTTCTCCAGCAACTAATTGTGACAGTGTGTGAGATGTCATCTAGGGAAACTCATTACACACTTAGTACCCAAAGATTTTACTGACGGTTGGTTACATGGGCACCTTCTACCTAACATGTACGGAAGTGCTAAATTCCCAGAAAGATTGCAGGTATTCAGCATAAATCGTACTGTTTGTGCAGTGGGCCACCTTATCATTTATGGATTTTTTTTGTGTGTGTAAGGTACTGGGCTGGAGCAATAGCACAGTGGGTAAGGCGTTTGCCTTGCACGCGGCCGACCCGGCAGACCCAGGTTCTATTTCTCTGCCCCTCTCGGAGAGCCCGGCAAGCTACCGAGAGTATCTCGCCCCCACGGCAAAGCCTGGCAAGCTCCCCGTGATGTATTCAATATGCCAAACACAGTAACAACGAAGTCTCAGAATGGAGACGTTACTAGGCCCGGTCGAGAAAATCGAACAACTGGAGGACAGTGACAGTGACAGTGACAGTATAGGGTACTATTTTGTGTACAGGTAACTTCCCAGGTACCAACCAAGTACCAGATTTGAAAGGACAGCAGTGTCAAGAGCTGCTAATGTTAACCCTTTTCCAAACACCATGTTTGTCTTTCTACCGGAAAATAAAAGTCATATATTAGTGGGAGTAATTGTGCTTATAGATAATTAAAATTTACTGTGAGTGTTTCACTGTCCCTTAATTAATTAGTCTTGGTTTGGGGCCATGCCTGCAAGTGCCCCTGGCATGTGGGACTGCACTGGGCTTAGCTGTGTGCTAAGCAAGCACCCTAACCCCTGTAGCATCATTTCGGCCCTTCCTTTAATTTTCAGAGATACTTGGTTATATTCCCAGCTCCAATTAGGATCCGGATTTTTCTTTAAAAGTGAATTATCCTGCGCGTATGCTGCCCCAGCACCTGTGTTGCTGCTGCATATTTGGGGTCCCCAAGCATACGTCTCCCCTCTTGAGATGCGGACTTTCATACCTTCATACATTAACTTTGGGGTGTGTACCAGGGCTCTCTTTCCACTCTGGAGAAGCCCATGTTCTCTACAGTGAGAAGCCCATATAGCATGTTATTCTCTCTCTCTCTCTCTCTTTCTCTCTCTCTCTCTCTCTCCCCCTCTCTCCCTCTCCCCTTTCTCTCTCCTTCTCTCTTCCCCTTCCCTCCTTCCTCAGAAGTTTCAAATTAAACCTGTTTTTACTAAAAAAAAAAAAAAAAAAAAAAAAAGGTCATCAGTGGCCAACGATGTGACTCAGCTCTAGAGCATTCTCGCCTTGCATGTATGAGGCCCTTGGTTTAATCCCCAGCATGCCAAAATTAAACAGCAAAAGCAAACATCTGCTCTATGTTTTTTTTTTACTTCTTTATATAGAAGTCAGTCTCCCCTCCCCCCACCCCATCTTTTTTTAATTGAATCACAGTGAGATGCACAGTTACAAAGTTGTTCATGGTTGGGCTTCAGTCATATAATGTTCCAACACCCATCCCTCCATCCCTTCACCAGTCACTAGTGTACATTTCCCACCACCAGTGTCCCCAGTTTCCCTCCTGTTCCCCCACTGCCCCCCACCTGAGTCTATAGTAGACACTTCTCTCTCTCTCTGTCTCTCTCTCTCTTTCTCTCTCTCTCTACTTTCTTCCCATCCCACCATCCCCAGTCTCTCCCCTTTACTTTCTTCCCATCTCTCTCTCTCTCTCTCTCTCTCTCCCTCTCCCGCTCTCTCTCTCGCGCTCTCTCTCACACACACACACACACACACACACATACACACACACACACACACACACACACACCCGGTTTGCAATACAGATACTGAAAGGTTATCATGTCTATCCCATTACCTACTTTCAACACTCAGTTCTTGTCCAGAGTGATCATTTCTAACTATTACTGTCATACTGGTTCGTCTCTATCCTAGCTGCCTTCCGCTCTCCGCCCCGACCCCCGACCCCCTCACCCCCCACTTCTCGCCACACACACATACTTGTGGCAAGCTTCCAACCATTGACCAGTCTTCCTTCTGGCCCCTGTTTTTCCTAGTCTTGGATATTATTAGTCTCTCTTTTTTTTTTTTTACTGTAGGAATCAGTCTTATGACCATCCTTCAGAAAGAGTCACTAAGTAGATTTCTGTTTTTTTCCTGACTGCCAGTTCTTCCCCATTATGTTTTCTCATTCCCTTTAGGAATAGTAGAAGAGTACCAATTGCCATATTATAACATGGTACCTAATGATCCTTCATACGAAGATATGCGTGAGGTTGTATGTGTTAAACGTTTGCGGCCAATTGTATCTAATCGATGGAACAGTGACGAAGTAAGTGGAGCTCAGTTTCCTGGGGAGGTGGTTGGTAATTGTTGCGAAGTATTTTACCTACTTATTATATGGTCTTTGCTTTTCAGTGTCTACGAGCAGTTTTGAAACTGATGTCAGAATGCTGGGCCCATAATCCAGCCTCTAGACTTACAGCTCTGAGAATCAAGAAGACACTTGCCAAGATGGTTGAATCCCAAGATGTAAAGATTTGACACTTACATAATCAGGAGGAGACATTCTAGACTCAAAACTGTTTTCACCCATGGAACAGGGTGGAATTAGAGTAGAATAAGGAAGTTAATTTGGTTCTCAGACTCTATCCTCACTACAACTTCACAGGCTGCTAATATTAAACCTTTCAGTACTCTGTAGAATACAAGCTGGGAACTTCTAAACACTTCATTCTTTACATTTGGACAGCTTTATTTTAAATATGGTTTTTGATGCCTTTTTTTATTGGGTTTTTATGAACTGCATCAATACTTCAATCCCGATTAAGTCTCCAGTCAAACTCTGGGTACTGAATTAACCTGTTCATAAAATGGTGCTTTCTGTGAAAGCCTTAAGAAGATAAATGAATTCAGCAGAGATGGAGAAATATACAGTTTGCCTTCTACCAAGAAAATTCAATCTGTTTGTATTCTACCTTTGTAAACAGCCTATGGATTATGATCTGTTTGGGATACTGCTTAGTTTGTGATAGTTTTGTCATGCCTTGATAGCAGTGTGTGTGTGTGTGTGCGTGTGCGTGTGTGTGTGTGTGTGTACATGTGTACGTGTGTGCATGCACACATGTACACCAAAACTCCTCTGCTGCCATTTGAATTAGAAAATAATTTATGAATGCAGGAAGACATTGGTAATGGTTGTCGGTTTTGTGCTTTAAAAATGCATTATCTGACTGTGTTTCGCCAATTATATAAAAGCCATTTCAAGTGAGCTAGCTTTTCCAACAACTTTAATTTTTAACATAAAAGTTGATATAAGGCCAAAAGAAGTTTAAAGTGTATAAATTTGGACTGTTTTCCTCCCACAAATATCCTTTTTTTATTTGGCAGGGTATGGGTATGGGGGAATAATTATTATTTTTATCATTAGAAGATTCCTATCCAAAGTTGGAACTTCCAATGCCTTGAATCCTCTAAAGAAAAGCACTTCTTATTGGAGTGCATTACTCATTACTGCATTTGATAGCAATATAAGTGCCTATAATCATGTTCTTTATTTTCAGTAACATTTAAAAGGGAAATTATTTATATTTTGTGTATAATATGTTTTCTTTACAAACACCTCCTCTTACAAACGTATTTTATGTATGTACATACATTCTGACTGTAGAAACCAACTCACCTCTATCTCACCTTCATCTTTTAGGGTTCTTGTAAATTAAGACCATCAAAAAATTATAAAATTAGAGCTACATATTAATACATTCAAATGTAGTATATCAAATCTAGAATTTTATTGATTTCAGACAAAGACTTTCATTAAAATTATCTGTTTTCTTTTATGAAAGGGTCCTCTAATTATAAATTTATATTTCAGAGCAGATATAAAATTATCCATTTGCTGTAAGATTTGAGGTTTCTTTCCAATTTTAGTAATGTGCTCTCCAAAGCAGACTTCCAAGATTTGGGATTTTTATTTCAATTTGCAACTTGTAAAGACAAAAAAGTTCAGTATCTAATAATTTTATCTATTCTGTATAGTTATTACTCAATAAAATACTGCATATTTTATAGATGCCTTATTATCCCAGGAAGTAATTCTGATTTCTTTCAACTTACTACACTTCAGTGATGCCTTTTAAATATTAAAGCCTTTTTCTGAACAGTCAGTTCACGGGTGCATCAAGTGAGACACTTTTCTTTGAACGAAACAAAATGTGATACCATAGTAAAAAAAAAAAAGAGGAATCAGCATGTATCCATCTGTTAACAAAATTTGCCATTTAAGAATGAAGCCCATTTATGTTTTTATCATTTTATAAATTTGAACTGGTTTTACCTTTTGACTACATTTAATAATTTTTAATCTACATATAGTTTGAAATGTTTGCAGGAAGTCAATTTAATTTTTTTTTTTTGCTTTGTTTTTGGGCCACACCCAGTGGTACTCAGGGATCATAAGGAGTGCTGGGAATTCAACCCTGGTCGGCTGTAAATGCCCTACCTACTGTACTATCTCTTACCCTATACTGATTTTTAATTGGTTAAAAGTGACATCAAGCCCAGGGATATAAGTCAGCAGTAGGGAGCCATGCTTTACCCTGGGTTTGAGCCTTGGCACTACCAGAAAAGTTGGAAGTGTCTATTTTGGAGTCTGAGGATGTGGTAAAGCACGTGCCTTGCATGTAGGAGGCCTGGGTTTGACCTCATGAGACCACAGAAGGCAAAAAAGAAAGGACAAAATACATAAGGAATTTCGGAAATTTCCTCAGTGAAAAGATTTCCTACTATAAAATGTGTTTTTAAAATGGAATGCTGCCATATTTGTAAAATAACAAATATTACATCAAATTAATTTTTTCTTAAATACCAGTTTATCCAGTAAGTGAAGTATTTAAAGTATTAGTGTCATAGTTAATAATTTAAAACCCTAGAAGCCTTTATTTGATCACACTATTAAATTTTTCTTTTTATGCTTTTTGGGTCACACCCGGCAATGTACAGGGGTTACTCCTGGCTCTGTGCTCAGGAATTACCCCTGGCAGTGCTCAGGGGACCATATAGGATGCTGGGAATCGAACCCGGGTCAGCCGCGTGCAAGGCAAACACCCTACTCATTGTGCTATTGCTCCAGCCCCCACTATTGAATATTTTTAAATGGTAAACATTATTTTTTCAGTCATTCTCCTAAATAATTTAAATGTAAAGGCAAATTAAAAACTCAAAAGCTACTTGAATTAACTGTCAAAAGAAAAGTCTTCATAGAAATTCTCTATATACTAGTAAAATATTTCCAGAATAAAAAGGCACACAATATTATGTTTGATGTCTTTAAACTTTTCTTATGTTATCTTAGTGACAAGTTTCGAAAGTAAACCAAATGTGAACGTAACTTCTCTAGAATTGTTTCCAGGAGAAATATTTCAAGGGTTGGGGAGAGAGTACAGGGGCTTGTCTTGCATGTGGGCAACCCAAGTTTGATCCCTGGCACCGCATTCTCTGCCCTGAGTGTACCACCAAGAATAATCCTTGAGCACAAAGCCAGGAGTAAGCTCTAGCTGAGCAACGCTGGGTATGCCCCTCCCATCTGTCTGTCTGTCTGTGTCTCTGTCTCTCTTACACACACACACACACACACACACACACACACACACACACACACACAGTGTCTTACCTATTTATTTTGCCTTTCTAATGTTCAAAAGTATTTTTAGATTTAGTAAGTAACATACAGTTTATGAAAACTTTTCCTGATATGTTCCCAGCTTTTTGGAGCAATCATATAGCAGATGAGGCATTTGCCTTGAACCCAGCTGACCTGGGTTCAATCTGTGGCACCCCACATGGCCACCTGAGCCTGCTAGGGGTAATTCTTGAGCACAAAGCCAGCAGTAAGCAAGCCCTGAGCACCACTGGGTATTGGCCTGCTACCCCAAAGGGGTGGGGAAAAAATACATATATATATGTATTTTTTACACATACACACACACACACACACTATATAGCAAAGAACTAAAGAAAAAGGTACCATGTATATGGTATTTTTTTCTTTAGTTCTTTGCTTCTCTTTTTTTTTTTTTTTTTTTTTTTGCTTTTGGGTCATGCCCAGCAATGCACAGGGGTTACTCCTGGCTCTGCACTCAGGAATTACCCCTGGCAGTGCTCGGGGGACCATATGGGATGCTGGGAATCGAACCCGGGTTGGCCGCGTGCAAGGCAAACGCCCTACCCGCTGTGCTATTGCTCCAGCCCCCTTTGCTTCTTTTTAAGGCAGAAATACAATATTATTTTTAAGAACCATATTTATGTACATCACAAATCACACAAATCACAAGTCATCCTGTTATTCGTCGATTGCCTCGAGCAGGCCCCAGTAACGTCTCCTTCATCCTAGCCCTGAGATTATATTCAAGGCTCTTTAGGAGAATGAAACCCATCATTGTTACTGGTATTTGGCATATTGGGTATGCCACGGGGAGTTTGCCAGACTCTGCCGTGTGGGCAGGCTACATTCGGTAGCCTGCCAGTTTTTTTATGTACATCAGCCCAACATAATTATTTTAAGGGGAGGGGTGTGCCAGAGAGAGAGTACAGTTGGTAGGATGCTTGCTTTGTATACAGCCAACCTAGCATCCCATATGTTCAAGTACCACCAGGCGTAATTTCTGAGCACCGAGCCAAGAGTCAGCCCTTGAGCATCGCTGGTGTGGCCAAAAAAAACCCATATTTATAACTTTTTTTTTAGGGAGGATTTTATAAATTTCAATGGCAGAATTACGAGTTGATGCTTATTCCTTGTTGTGGCCCCTTGTTTTGGACGTGAAGTGGCAATATTTTTTGTTGAGTCGGATGCTAATCTAAGACAGCGGTTTGTCTTCTTGCCTTAGCACTGTTGCACGAGTCACTGTAGCGAACATGTTCATAGAAAACAAAATCCAGAACAGCATCAAGGAGTCCGTGTGTGATGACTGTCCCATGGGAAACATGTGAATACCGCTTTTGCGAAGCATTAACTATGTGATTGTAATTTTAGCTTGTGCTCTGTACTATGCTTTCAGTGGAATTATTTAACCTTTTTAGTGGCTGTTGTCCTGACCCATTTAAAACCTAAAATGTAGTAAACCTTGTATAAAATGGAAATGCCATTATAGCTGAATTAGGAAACGTGTACATAGACATTGAAAAAGGAGTTAAAAGAGAAAACAGTTTTATTATGCAGTGTAAAAAAAACAAAATATAGATTCATCTTTGATATGTAACACACTAAATGTATTTTGTACAGCATCTGATTTAAAAGGTGCCTTATTAAGTTTACCATTAATTGCTTTGTCCTATATATAGATTACATCCAATGTATCATTTTTAAGTAAATAACCTTATTTTAGTATACTCTAGTGATGTGTTTTATGATACACTACTTGAACATTATTATGTATACTATAAGCCTGGTGAGATTGGCAGGCAGGGGAAGGGTGTGGCTTGGGCCACAGCTGGAATGGGCCCAGCTCTGTACTTGAAGTTCACTCCTGGCAGTGCTCAGGGGACCATATGGCCCCGGGGATTGGTCCCAGGCCTCCAATATGCACAGTGTATGACAAATATTCGCATGCATGTGTTTGAGGTGTGCATTTTTAACTGCTGTAACTCAGCATGAGGAAAAGGGCAGGTAAGTGACCATGTGTTCTTTCCTTTGGATAGTTAGACAAGTATAATCTTACTATAGGGAAGATTTTTAAGGGTTTTTTTCCCCTTTAAACAAAACTTGCAGATGCTAAAACTATGCACTTGTAGGAGGAAATTTGGAAAATATGAGAAAGAATAAAGAAGCAAGGCCAAAGTGATAGAACAGTGGGTAGGGCACTTGCCTTGCATGCAGCCAACCCAGGTTTGATGCCCAGCACCCAATATGGTCCGTCGAGCTTTGCCAAGCAGAGTATCCCCAGGCAGGAGTAAGTCCTGCGCACAGCTGGGTGTGGCCCCAACCCCCTCCCATAAATGAAATAAAAATAAAATCACTTAAAATTCTATTGCTGTATGCTACACTATATATTTGGGTTTTGCTGATGGGGGAGGGTGTGCAGCACACCCAGCGGTGCTCAGGATTTACTCCAGCTCTGCACTCAGGAATCACTTCTGGCAAAGCCTGGGTAACCTTGTGGGATGCCAGGATGGAACCTAGGTTGGCCACATTCAAGGCAAATGCCCTCCCGGCTGTCCTATCACTCCAGCCCCTCCACTTTTTAAAAGCTACATAGTTCGGGGTTGGGTTTTTTGGTAGGTTGGGGATCAAACTCAGGATCTCACACATTCAAGGGAGATCGTCTGCCACTGAGCTACATCCCTGGTACATCACCTACATAATTTTTTTTTTATTGAATCACCATGAGATAGATACACAGTTGCAATGCTTTCATGATCAGGTTTCAGTCATACTATGTTCCAAAGCCCATCTCCACCAGTGTACATTTCCCACATACGTGATTTTTATAAATCATAATCCACCATGTAGATGGCATTGTTTTTTATGTTTCCCTCTTGAGTAGTTGGAATATTTACATTGCTTTAGATAATATAATCAATGTATTAAATATCTAAAATTCTTAAATTACATGCCTTAAAATATGACTAAAATTTTCAAAGATCCTTTAAGATAAAAATATAATTATTATTTATTTTTTTGTTTTGGAACCACACCCAGCAGTGTTCAGGGCTTACTCCTGTCTCTGCGCTCAGGAATTTACTTCTGGTGGGGTTCAGGGGACCATGTGGGGTTCAGGAATCGAACCAGACTCGGCCACATGCAAGGCAAGTGCCCTGCCCGGTGTACTATTTTCATTCCAGCCCGCACATTTTTTAAGTTTAGGGTTCTTGATAAACTGTTGCGATATGGTTTCTCATTTACACATGTACTGGCAGCGTTTGGCTTGCTGCCTGAACAGGTAGTTTCTTCCAAGTTTCTCTCTCCACTAGTATATTGTCTGGTTCCTTGTACTGTGATTGGCTTAATTAAAGCAGAGGGTCCCAGACTTACTTGGCCTGCTGCCCTCTCAGGTAACAGATCACACGGTGCT